CTTACAAACAACATGGGAGCAAAGTAATGGGAGAGAATGGAACAGGTGAACATTTTCAAATGCTTATTTCTGTGGTGGCTGATGTCTGTAATTGTTTTAGGAGATGGTGCTTTTATAACAAATCTTCCTATCACTTAAAGCCAGAACCACAGAACATGTTACATTTGATCACTATGCAAACAGATTATAATCCTCATCAGATACCCTCTGGTTTTCTTATTTCTCTCTCTTTTTTTTATAGCTTTAAGTGCTTATAGCTTCATTTTTGCAAGTGTCACTAATGGAACCTAAACTGTGGAAAACTGAAATAATTAAAGCAAATATTGATGTTTAGTGGTGTGCTGTGTACCACAGAGTATTTTTATGAGCACTTACAGGATGTGCTGGGCAGAGCTGATCATGTCCATTATCGGGCTCCTGAAACATAGATTGCAGTGAGTATCTACAAATTTATAAGTCTGGAGATGTCGTGGTTTAACTCCAGCTGGTAACTAGGCACCACAAAGCCTCTTGCTTACCCCTCCCCCACCAAGGGGATGGGGAGGAGAATGGAAAAAAAACCTCATGGGTTGAGATAAAGGCAGTTTAATAGGATAACAAAGGAAGATGATTATTATTATTATTTTGTTATATTTATTATTGTTGTTGTTGTTATGTAAAACAAGTGATGCACAAGTGCAATTGCTCACCACATGCAGAAAAAAAAAACCCAGACCCGATGCCCAGTCTGTTTCCGAGCAGCAATCCCGCCTCCCAGCTAGCTTCCCCAGTTATATCCAGAGCATGACGTTCTGTGGTAGGGAATATCCCTTTGGCCAGTCTGGGCCAGCTGTCCTGGCTGTGTTCTCCCAGCTTCTTGTGCACCTGGCAGGGTGTGAGAAGCTGAAAAGTCCTTGGCTTAGTGTAAGCACTAGCAACAACTAAAACCATCAGTGTGTTATCAACATTATTCTCATACTAAATCCAAACCACAGCACTATACCAGCTACTAGAAAAAAAGCTTAACTCTATCTATCTCAGTCGAAACCAGGACAGGAGAATAATTTGATATAAAAGCAGGAAGTATTCTGAAAGAAAAACAACAACTAATGTTGTTCTGATCTACAAGCTATAGAAATTATGATGTTCAAGCAAATACTAAAAAAAAATAAATCTTGTTCTTGAATCCTTTATAAAGTGAAATTATTTTGAGATTTAAGGTAGGAAAAATGGCAGGGACACTTTGCTTTACAGAATATTTTGCATTTGCCCATTTTGAAAAGCCAAATAGATTTCAAGGGTAGAAATTTGTCTGGTTGAATTGTGTAGGCGAGCCTTCATGTTTTATGTACTCTAACTAAATTCAAGAAGATGTGAAGGTACACGGTATCCTTCTTTTGGGAGGTGTCAAGTGTGAAGAATTTAGCTTATAGCTTGTTTTACTAGAAGAACCAAATATATCTGGAAATTATTCCATCTAAAGGAATAGAAGCACAGGTCTAAGCAGTCAGGGATAGGTAGTCCAAGGAATAGGTAGTCTATGGAGATTTCCAGAAAGCTTCAGTGTTAAGATGACAAATCCCCAGGTGTGTTTGATCAAGAAAGCTGTAGCAGCACCTGACATGCTGTTGGAATTGAAATGTTGCTGTTGCATCTTAACTCACCTTTTAATGAACAAGTTTCCTCTGCACGTCCTTGGAGTAAGTGGAAAGCAGGTGCTGGAACCATCTTCCATCTGGAATACTGGTTCAAAATAAGTCACAGGACCAATTTTGTCTTTCCTTGCACCCTAGATTGTGAGTTCAGCTGGCACATCCAGTGACGTTTCTGCCTCCAGTGGATTGTACCTGTGCTGTTAAGAGTATTGCAAGGTTGTGTACTTGCCATGGAAGAGCATGTGTTGCAGTTGTCTTTCCTGATCTCCCCATGAGCCTTCAACGCTTCTACACTCCATTTTCTCCAGCATGCCTCCATGTGTGAAATCTGAGTTGTAAAGCATGCCGGTTTCAGCCATCATTAGGTTGTCATGCATTTTTGTGACTAGATTATCTAGTCTAATTTTTTTTTTTTTTTACACCAAGACACAAATATTGTTGTTCTGAACAACAAACTCATGTTTAGTGTCAGTGTTAGAAATAAGGAAAATAATTAGGCACGAGTCACTAACTCTTCCTTCTTTTTCAAAAGCCTCTTCCTTTTCTTCAGCTAGGGTTGCCTTTTTCTACAGATGAAAAAAGCCTGTCTTCCTTTTTTGTTGGCAGCTCTGGACACCTGGAGGTTTGACTGGGAACATGTTCTGAAAAGAGATGTTTTGAATGGGTGTTACTCTGCAGAAAGCTGAATCTCCCATAGCTGTTACTGCCATGCTCTCAGATTAAATTAAACGGTTCAGCGTAACTATTAATCACTTCAATTATTTCCATAATTCCAACTCCAAGGCAGCTTTGTATTTTTAGCTAGCTTAGTCATATCACATGGCCATGACTTTCAGGGCATTGTCCAAGGGAGAGAAACAACTTACTTGGAAAAAGCTTATTAGTCTGGAAGGCAGAAGTGTTCTCAGTGGCAAGTCCCCCTGCCTGTTTTGCAGCCCCTGCTTGGCTGCCTGTTTGGAAGCAACCCCTGTGCCTTGAACTAGAGTGTATGAAAATCTGATGAACAGCAGAGGTGCAAAAGGCCCAGCTAGCCAGGTCTTTGCTTGTTCTTAGGTAAGCCAATCCCCAAAATGCCACGTCTTGAGAACACAGAAAACATTTCATTGAAACCTGTGACTTAAATCCTTCCCAGAGCTGGGCATTATGCCCAGCTCCCTCCATCCTAAAGTCTCTTACAAAAGGGATGAAGACCATGAATCCAGAGGGGGCTGGGAGATTATTGGTCCAACAGACACTCCCTATTCTCTACCTGGATACCAAGCCAGTGATGACTTAACCCTGTGCATTAGTGTAAAGCTTAGAGGAAACCCCAACCTTGCACTGCTTTGTGTTGTTAATGAAATGGTAGAAGTCAATGGAAAGCAACGGAAAAGACTGCACAAGAAAGAGAAAGATTAATCCTATGTCGAAGAACACTTTAACCTGGTTCATCCATCAGTCCCACTCTGTGCAAAGTGAGCCCTAATGATGCATCAGTCATTGGCCTGTTACTTGGTGTATAGTTGGGTTTTCTGTTTCACTTATAAACCTGTCCCAATTCCCATGTTTCTGAGGTTTTAGTTGTAAGGCTTACAGCACGTTACAGAAATACTGAGAATTATACTTGGGCCAGTGGGAAAAGATAGCTTAAAAGAATTTTTCAGGTAGCTCCTTAAACCTAAAATTTCACAGACATCATTATTAGTATCTTACAGGCCAGATTTATCTTTTAGATCAATCAGTGAGCAGCACTGATCTACCAAGATGTTTTAGAGACAGATTGTTACAGGTTAACAGACTGAGATCAGAATTTTATGTAGTCCTGTAAAAACTAGTAGAGGTTACATTGAAGGTAGCAGATTCAGTGTAAGCCTGTCACAAAGCTCCAAGAGGGCTGGGTATGTACATTAACTGTGCTGATAAAATTTCTACAGCGTGAGTTTGTTTGTCCTAACATTCACCTTATGTCTCATGGTGGCAAATTCAGCTATGCACAAAATGATTTCCAGGTGATCTTTTTGATCAGAGAAGTGATTGTAGGGGAAGTACATATGCAAAATGCAGCAGGGTCAGGCTGCCCTCCTTGTAAGGACCTACAGAATGGTGGGACAGCTGAGACCAATCTCGACGTAATCATACCAGGAATACACAGAGTTCTGCTTTTTCTTCCCATGCAGACGGAAAGACAAAACTGCAAATTAAATGTGAAAGTGAGTGCTGATTCTCACTGTAAATATTTTCTGTTCTGAATTTATGGTAAATAAAGAGCTGTGGAATAAGAAAATTATGCAGTTCTAGACAGATACAGATTACAGGCTTTTTTAATAGAGGTACTCCTGTGATGCCCAGTGAGCATCTGTTGGTTACAAGGTGCTTGGTTAGATGCTCACACACTTTCTCTGTTCATTCACCTTCTCATTCCAGGCTTCCAACCCTGCTGAAGGCTGATTTTTTAGAACTGTTTTTAAAATATTCCTGAAAGAATTTGCACTTACAAAACTCTTCTGCGGGTAGCAAGGCCTTTTGTAAGGAGAGAGAGATAATGAACTGCAGTGTATTAAAGGCCAGATTTTTAAAGGTATTTGAGTGCTTATAGCGATGGAAATTGAATATCTAGATGCTTTTGGAAATCCCTCAAGATGCTTAGCTGTGTCTGTAGATGCTTTAATAAATTTGTTTCAAGTGGTTTGCCTAAGGTGCAGTTATTCACTGCTAGAGAGTTGAAAAGGGAAACTTTCTCTTACTGCTGTAGCCATTAATCATTTTTGCCTTCTTTATGACAAAGCAGTGGGAAAATAGAACTGTTTATAGAATCTGATGGAATAGGAAAGAAACAGCAATGAGTTATAAAACAAAACTGAAGTTCAGCTTTTTTTGAGTAGCAGGCTTCTCCTGTAAGCTCGTGGTTGTAACTGTAGCAGAGGAAGGTAGCCTCCCACTGTTTGTAAAGTCTCTATAATCACCACATGATTAATCAAAATCATTTCCTAAATCCTTTCTACAGTGTGGTTGAGGATCTGTGAAGTATTACTTAGCAGGTCTTTGAGAGAATTTGATCTGCTCAATGCATTTTGATAGTAAAAATCATATGCTATTATTTCTCTTTTCTGGTTGATCATAGTTCTTGTTGCAAACCTAGTATCTGGTTTGAGTATTTAATGTTTCCAAGTTTGCATTCATTTTTCTTGATATCCTCTCATTTACTTACAAACACAGGGTGAGTATGCATGCCAGGTGAAATAAGTTTTAGTGTATTTACAAAAAATGATGATACAATTCCCACAAGTAGCTTTTGTCAGTATAATCTTTTTACCCTGTTTTTCATCATTACTGCATATTCTCAGTTTACTGTTTTTCTCATCAAATGCTTTTGTTTCCATTAACCAGGATGCTGAGAAATTGGCCGGTGAAGAGCATGCCTGGAAAGAAGTCAAAGATGCTGTAAACGAAGTGAGATATCCAAAATCAAAAGAAGGTATCCTTTCTGTGACAGGCTACAGGTTGTCATTCAGTTGTGAAAACAATCCAGAGAGCCCCACAGTTCATATTTTGAGATTTATTTCCTAAAGGTTTACATTTTTATGTTGTTTGAAATGTATTTTTATTTATTTTGATGTTTAAACCATGTAATATTCTTAATTACATTAATAATCATAGAGGCTCTCATTACTTGGACTGGAACTGCTTCATGGAAGGGATTGTCGGTACTTAGGATGTGAAAGGATATTTTGGCTCAGGTTTAGACTTCTGCCATCACAGTCCACCACTTCATACAAATCCACTTCTAAATGAAATAAAGCTTAATCCGAAACATTGTTGAATTCTTTGTCCCATTACTCTCATTGTGAACAGTTCCAGGTTCTCATTCTTTGTGCAGCAATGACAATAACAAGGACAGTCACAGTCAGGTAGATTGCAAGTATTATTGAATCATTATAATAAGTAGTAATAATAATAATTGATAATTAAGCAAATTGAATGAGATGGTCTTGCACTAATAAACAGAACTGGAGCCTAATGGACATAATGTAGATATTCAATCTAATTAAAAAAACTAGTGAACAGCAACAACAAAGAAAAGATGAGCAGAAGAGAGGTAGAGATATTTACTGGAAGACTATGAGCATATTGATCCCTCTGTCATCTTAGTCTATTCAGTGGAATTTCACTGATGGAATTTGGCCTATTTAGCAAGATGCCTTACCATTTTCAGAAAAATGGGCGTCCAGAGCTAGAGAGAATTAAATCTGCAAGTACTCCTTTTCAGTAGCATAAAGAACAAGTTTGCATAGTGATATTCCAGACTGGAAACGGGAGATCACGATTTTTATTGTAACGAAAAAACCCCACCAAACCACAAAACCAAAAAACACTCAAAAAACCCCAAAACCCAACATCTGAGTTTGTTTCTATCTAATCCAGAGAGGTTCATTTGTTAGCAAAAGGGAAACACTCATCTAACTTTAATCTTCATATAGTTTCTAGTGTGTGTTAAGTTCCTCTGTAGTCACTGGATTGAGACAGACAATACTGAAGTAGAACTTCAGGCATTCAGTTATACTTCAGGGATCATGTTTTAACCTGGAAGTTAAATTATAGGTATGCAACATGCAGTTGCAACCATTTTTATACCAAAAGTATGGAGCTAGAATACTGGTCCTATTTAATGTTCCTATATTTAATTGCAGGAGAAATTCCACCTACTGAATTTTGCTAGGGTCTTTAATTAAGATTACTCTTTTAACTGATATTTTAAAATGAATCAAACACATTGTAATAAAAGGTATCAGGACTGGTTGAAAAAATATGTCCTCATTGTCTGTTCAACTTCTGCTCTCATACATCGGCTGTTTGAAATGTGTCTTTCCTTCCATTGCACCACAATACCTGTGCTAATTGGCATGCAGCGGCGAGTGCACTGCATGACTTCCAAAATCTGAGATGATACTGATTATAGCTGATAGAGTGTCGTAATGCTAAAACTGCAGTTAAAGAACTTGAAGAAATATGTGTGAATGAACTGTCTCAGACCCAAATTCCAGTTTAAGCATACTAATTGAGATGCTAAAGCCCAGTGCAGGGGGATTATTGTTGAGAAAAGGATTCCTCTGCATCTGAGGCCACACAACAGTAGCAGGCTGCTTGAGGGCTGCTCCTCTAGTCTAGAGTATAGCTTCTCCGTTGTCCTGTTGCAGCTGGTAGTGGGTTTTCCAGCATGCAATTTATATACCTGAAAATTTGGTCCCAACAGATTTTGCAATAGAGCACATCTGCTATTAGATGCTAGTGAGTGAACAAAGCAGTGTAGTGAGAAGTAAAAGCAGACAGACTAATACTATGCATCAGCTAAAATGGTAATCTTTCAAGAATGTCACTGCTTTGTACTTTCTACAAAAATTGTATCAAGTGGAAATAATATCCCTCATTTTTCTGTTTGTCTGTCCTTAATCAGTTGTAAAGAATACATGGATGTTTGCCAGAGATATAAAGGTTAAGGTGCAATTTTATAATAACACATTCCTTCCCTTATATGGTTCTTTCAATCCAAGGGCATGAGAGCAATTCACAAATAATTAGTTTAGCCTTGTGACAACCATGCTATAAATCCTGGCCCAACCACGTAGTGGTCACATTCTTAAATTTAAGTATGTAAATATTCCTATGTTCAGGAAGGACTAGTTACTTCATCACAGGGTTATCAATGTACACTTAAATCCATTGCTGGATTGAGGTGAATAGTATTTTCAGTAATGTCATGAAAGTAACTGCTGAACTTCCTCGAGTTGATGGTATGGAAAGGACTGTGATACAAACAATGTTATTAATTCTCTTACTGTGAGTCCATTTTTCATTGTTTGTTTGATTTGTTCTTACTGGTGTGTACGGTATCTTTTTGGTGGTTGGACTGCTTGCATTCTGGGACTCCCATAAAGTCCCAGATGACAGTATTCATTTAAAATCTGGCAGTACTGGTGTTTAGGTTAGGCATGGTCAGAGAGAGAAGAATCTGGTCCACAGAGAAGTTAAACCGGTGTAGAATGTAATGAAAATAAGTGATTTGTGGTAAGGAATATCCAACTAAAGTGAATGCAAAGCCCCAGCTTACTTTTCTTCTCTTCCAAACACACAAAAAATCTTTTTTGTAGCATTGGAGGTAAAAATCTTCTTTACTGCTAAGATCCTTAATCCCAAACTACAGTCAGGCATCAGAACTGTGGTGCTGTTCTTTCTCATGCATGAAACATGCAGCTGTACATAAAAAAAACCAATGCTTTTTACAACTTTTCAAGGAGAAAGAAAATTAATTAATTGCAAGAAAAGGTTCTAATTTCATGAGAATCCTAAACCATGTCTTGGGCAGCTTAAAAGTATGTGTCATTATTTTAAAACATGAAAAAGTTAATTTCTTTTTTTAGCTGCTGAGACACTTTGTTAAGACATATTTCACATGGGTTCTTGCCCTTGGGTGTAAGATTTGGAGGAGTATCTTAAGTAAATAATAATGTTTCAGCAGCTAAATAAAAAGTATTTGAATTTTAGTTTGTTATATATTAAAATATCCTTTCATTTTGTCATCTTTGTTTTACCCTTTATGCTGAAATACAGCCTTCTTTAGAAACTGTTTTGCTAAATGTAAACAAAGCATAGTTACGTAAACTACCGCTTTTGAGCTCAAGTGTGTTTTCAAGACTTGAAGCAGAGTCTGGAAGATGGCAGCTTTTTTGTCTTAATGCCCTGTAGCTCTTACTCCTTGCTAACAACATTTAGAACTTGTATTTTTGTTTGATTAAAGATATTTCTTTAACTAAGGCTGATAACAGAGTGGGAACAGGTTCTGGCAAGATGCCAGAATCTCTTGAGCAGCCATATGGGTCGTCTTCCAGACACAAATATCTATCAGCTGAAAATGCTTGACTGTGCCATGGATGCCTGTATTAATCTTGAATCCTGGGAAGAAGCTTTGTATTATGGCAGCAGGACTCTGGGACCATACAGGTAAGAGATGTAATTGGTTCAGTTGTTTCCAAAGATGGGTGTGGAGGGGGCTGTCTTATTACAAGCAAAGATTGTGCTGCATCTAGATGCTTCTTACAGTTTTTATTTCTTGCTGTACATCTTGCTTTGCTTTCTAGGTTAATGGATGAGGCAGAACTCCCATTCTGCTTCCACAGTCAAGTTGAAAGCAAATAAAGTGATAATAGGAACTATAGTCATAACTGATTATTAGCTCTTTGCTGTTTCATGTTTTCAGATACTGCCCCATCCCTTATCAGAAGCTGACTTTCTGTTTCAGACTCCATTGCCATGAAGGTATCAGTGTTTCATGCTGAGCTAGGTCAAGCTTGAGGGACAGGTAGCTGGCTGAAATAATGTATATTCTCTGTATACTCTATACATAGAGTTTACAGAAAGAATAAAAAAAATCTTGCAAAATGCAGTTTGGAAATGAAAAAGCCCCTGGTCCTTATTTGGGGAAGTGTCCAAGGTGGTGAAGTACCACTTCTCTCCCAGTCAGTACTTGCTCCTATGCTGTGTGCTGGGGGAGTTTCTGAGTCTGATGGCCTTTTATTGGTAAGGAAGGATGCTCTACGAGATCCTACTTCATGTGGTAGGTCTTGAAATGGATTGGAGCCTGGAACTGTAATGCAACTTTGGTCAGCTAGTGGAGAAAGGGCAGGTGCTGTCTGCTTTGGCTTGTCTTCTAAAAGCTCTAAGACTCAAGTCTTTGGGTTCTGAATATTTGCGTTGTTTGTAACTGAACATAAACCTCTTCTGAATGTCCAGATATAATGTCATTCACACATGAATGTTCCTTCTTGTTAAGGTATTTTTAGAGCCTCCATTTCTTCTCTGTTGGTTCTTCTATGCCATATGATGTTCCAGTACATAGTGTGATGTTGAGAAGTGTGAGGGGCATGCTAGTGCTGAACAGTATGTGCTGCTGTGAATATGAACATCTCAGATTTTATGTGTCTTCCCTAATCAAACCAGGATGCCATCAGCATTCAGCATTTTGCCTGAGGAAGTTTCATCTGGCAGCCTGTTTCTGAATAAAACTCTAGGCTTTCATGCCCAGCATTTCAGAGTGTTCATTGTAAAGTGATTAGCGAGAAATCTGCATAGCCTGTGATACACCAGAGCTGTAGAGAAGCTCAGTGTTCATAATGACTATTACTTCCCATAGAGGAGGGCATGAGTGCCTACAAATTCTCACATTTCTTCAAGGTGCAATTCACGTCATGCATGTCCCACTTAACCTTTCAAACAGGGTTTATGTAGTACTGCAGCAGTACATGCTTCCTGCCAGCCTTCCACCGTGTGGCATGCTCTAGATGAACAGAGTAGTCTGCCTGTTTAAATGTTCCCTTATTAAATAAAAAACCCCACCAACCCTCACTTTTTTTTTTTTTAATTTTATAACTTCTTAACTCAGTTCTTCACCACTGAAAGCTGAGGATTTTTCTACAGACATTTCCGAGAGCAGAGATTACAGTGAGGCTAAGTGCAATTTACCAGATAATTTAATAAAGCTTTCTCGGTATTGCTTACTGAAGTGTACTGTAGTTTTCAAGCTGTTTAATGCAGGAGTTTGGAGATGAAGGTAAGGGTTTGACTGTGCATTCAATTAGGATCTCTTAAGGAATGCTATTTACATGAGATATTTGACCTTTTTTGCACCTTGAAGAGCTTGTCCTTGTTCTTTCCTCATCTAAAAGCATTATTTAAGAGAGATTTTCAGTTGTTGTTTTTTCTTTATACCTTCAAGTCATCACTACAAGCTTTGACACACCTGAAACAAAATCCTCAGTTTCTCATTACAACAAATTGTGCCCTAAGCAGCAGGAGAGCAAATCCTAGGAAATCTTTTGGGATGCATTGAATTTCTCCTGTTGAATCAATCTACTGCTTGGCTGCTCCTGCAGTTCCATTATAGCTATCTATTTTCCTTTCCTCAGCTCTGGAAAAAGTATTCATACAGGTCTCCACAGGGAATCACATGAGAATTCGAGCAGTCCATATAAATAGGAAAGCATTGTTACAACTTTAAACGCTCTGGTGATTTGGTCAAAAACAATTTTAATTTCAGGTAATGTGTTTATTGTGCATTTTCCATTTCTTTAGCAGCAGGATTAATTTTCAGTGCTGTGTGACGCATTGTATCGTAATGTATGTTTTCATTAAGACGGTTGCTGACTTTTTCAGAATCATCCACTTCGTGTAACTGGTGGAGACAGATGGTTACAATACATAAAACTGATTTGTCATACTGAATACCGACCTCTATGTTTTAGATAGTGACAATAACCTATAAGGGGCATTGTTTAGGACCTCTCAAATATTTTTAGAACTTCCCAAAGAAGAGGAGATGGCAGCTGTCAAGATGAAAAGCTGCCTTCTCTTTTTGTGCTGAACCATAACTGTCCATTACTTGTTAAAACCTACAACATGTACTTTCACTGAATAGCCTAAGCCAAATGTATCTACACAGCTTTTCTTGTAAATGTCACAATAATAGTCTGTCTGTACAAGAGCCTTAACAAAAGTTAAGACATTTGCCTAAGCGAAAGCTGCCCCACATCATAGCACTCAGCAGCTTGCAAAAACAAACTTCCTTTCAAAAATCCTCATGAGCCTTAACCACAGAATAAGAGAATATCAGCAAGAGGTGTTACATGGGTTTGTCATGTCTCAGTTAGCACATTCACACTCTGGGCTGACTGCTGGTCATGAAGGATTGGATTCAGAGATACTGAGTAAGGCAGACTTCCCTTAGGTTACTTCTGAGGAAGGACCCCAGCATTTGCCCCTGCATTGCAGAGAAGGCACATATGTTCTGGGGATTGAGTTGAGGTTTGGGGTTGTTTTTTTTCCCTTTGTCTGAAGTATTCAGTGCTTGCATTGCAGACAAACAGTGGAAGTATACATCTGTTATAAAACTCTGCTAGATGTCCTCAGCTATTGCAACAAGAGTACTAGGGGGAAAAGAAGTAGCTAAGTGACACCATGGGCCTACTGGATGTAGGAAGCAAAAGGGACTAGGGAAAGCCGTGTCACCTCTGTGGGCTCCTGTGGCATCAGGTCTGGTGAGATTCTGAAACAGAGAGAACAAACATGCTTGTTT